CGCGCCCCCTGGGGACGGCGACCAGGAGTACGTGAGCCCCGATTGGGCGGGAGCGCCCGAGATCCCCTACGAGGAGCTCTGGGCGCACCAGGCCCCTGAGGGCCTCGCCCTGCCGGCCCCGGGCCCCGACCTCATCTCCTTCGGGGCCCCACCGCGTCGCGAGCCCGAGGCGCCGCCGCCTCCCGTCCCTCCCAAGTCCGAGGCGGTGAGTGAGCGAGCGCCCTCCGCTGAGCGCCTACGGTGTCCGGAGTGGGTTGCCCAGCTTTTCAAGGGGACCCAAGAGCCTCAGTCTTTGGGTGAGAGGGTGGCAGAGGAGCGGGGAGGGAGAGAAGGAAAAGAGCCAAAGAGGCAGGGGTATTTGTGGGAAGATGCCAGGGGCGGTGGCATGGAGTGTTGTGGGGACGAAGATGCCTGCAGGTCCCAGCCTCAGAGATTGGGGTGAGCCTAGAACAGTGTTACCCGGAAGATTCCACAGAAGGGAATCCCCCTTCGCACTGGGCAGTGAGGAGAAGGCTCGTGGTAGAGTGAGTCGGGGACATGCGGCTCCCAGCCGGCCCTTCTCACCCGCCCCCGGAGGCGGTCGTGCCGAAGGCCCGAGTGGCCCTGCGCGTGGGGAGACTTTCTCTAACGCAGTCTCGCCAGCATTTGTCCACAGAACCTTCCCCCTGCTCATGACCCTGCCGGCACCACGCGGAGACCATTTGGGGTAGTTGACCTAAGGGATCCGGATGTCAGGTCGCGTTCCTTCCCTTTGTCCCCATTCTCCGTTTTCTTCTGTTTACTCTCCTTTTCCTCCAGAAAGGAAGGTGTCTGCTTATCTGGTTTGGCATCTGCTTCCATTCCTGAATTTGGAGAGCACTAGGAGACAGCGTGTTGTGAGCAGAGTGTGGGTGGATGAGCTAGGCTGGAGGGGGCGGGCAGATTCTTGGTAAAGGCGGCCAAAGTGCCCAGTCCAGACACCCCTCGGCCAGCTGCGAATGGGGGTAAGGGAGTCCCCGCCTGGGGACCAGGAGTCATGACCGTCTTCCTGCAGGTGAAGGAGGAGTGCCGCCTGCTCAATGCGCCCCCTGTGCCTCCCCGGGGTGGCAGTGGCCGGCTGGCGGGCAGCCCCCCTGTGCCGCCCCGCTTCCCCAAGCTGCAGCCTGTCCTCTCGCCCAGCTCCAGCCTGTCCTACTACTCCTCCGGCCTCCAGGACGGGTGAGTCCCTCCCTCCCCTTGGTTCTCAGTTGCACTGAGGGGTGTCTGGCCTGCAGGTTCGGAGGGTGCGGGGCCCCTGTGCCACAGGCAGCAGCTGAGCAGGGCCTGGGGCCTGGGGCTGCCCCGTGCCTTCCTGCCTCAGTGTTTCCTCCCTAAGTGATGGGGACAGGGTGGGAGCCTGGCACCCAGTCCCTCTGACTGGACTCCCATGCAGGAGAGAGTGCTTCTTGCTGTTTTCCATTTTTATGTAATTGAGTTGAATCCTTCCCAGCTGTGTTTTCTGGCCGGGGTGACGTGGTGCTGGAAGGAGGACCAGAGCAAGCTTGGAAGGACTGAGGCTTCGGGGGCTGGCGTGTCACCAGGGTTGCCGGGGTCAGAGTGGAGGCTTCTGACCTGGGGGGCTGTGGAGCGCGCGCTGTCTTGTGTGTGTGACCTGTGGACGTGCCTTCTTGCTCTGCTTATCTGTCCTGTTGTCTGTCTCTGTCAACAGGGCGGGTTCCCGCAGTGGCAGTGGCTCCCCATCACCAGATGCCTATTCCCTGTATTGCTACCCTTGTACTTGGGGAGACTGCAAGGTGGGCGAGTCTTCTAGCCGCCTACCCCCAGGACCCCTGCCCTCAACAACCACGCAGCCCAGCCAGGCCTTACGGGCCCTCACAGAGCCCCTGAGTGGTCGAACCACCTCCCTCTTGGGGGGTGACACCCTGGTCAAGACCTACCACGGCTGCTCTCCTCTGTTGAAGCCCTCTCACCCTCAGAAACGATTTGCTCCCCTGGGGGCTCTCAACCCTTTCTCTGGGCCTGCCTACCCCTCAGGCCCTCCTGCAGCCTCCTCTGGGCCCACAACCACTTCGGGCTCCCTGGCTACCTCCAGCCCGGCACATTCCCCTGGACCAGCCTCACCAGGACGGGCCTATTCTGCTGGTCCGCCGGCCTCACCAGCATCTTCCGAGTGGCAGGAACCGGCCTTGGAGCCCTTGGATCCCTTTGAGCTGGGTCAGAGCAGCTCACCGGAGCCTGGGCTGCTGCGCTGCCAGGAACCCAGAGCTGTGGGGGCACCTGGGCCTGGACCCCGCCTTTCGCCACTTGGCCCCCCCAAGGCTTTTGAGGCCGAAGGTTTGGTGTCAAGGCAGGTGCCCACCCCACTCTCACCAGCTGCTCTGCAGGGGTCCGAGGCAGGAGGAACTCGACTCTTTCTCAGCCAAGGGCGCCTGGAAGGACCTCTTGCCAGTCCCAGGGACGCCTCCTCCTGGCAGCCCCCTGCGGACCTATCCGCGCTGTCCCTGGAGGAAGTTTCCCGAAGCCTGCGCTTCATTGGGCTGTCTGAGGACGTGGTGAGCTTCTTTGCCCGAGAGCGCATCGATGGGAGCATCTTTGTGCAGCTCAGCGAGGACATCCTGGCAGACGACTTCCACCTCACCAAGCTGCAGGTCAAGAAGATCATGCAGTTCATCAAGGGCTGGCGGCCCAAGATCTGAGCTGCCAGCTTGGGGCTGCACTGCTGAGTGCTGGCACGGGGCTCTGGGTCTTTGGGAACTGTATTCCTGGAGGGGTGGGTCCTGCCTGTGGGGAGAATCTCTGCCAGGACCCTGTCAGTCAGTAGCCACTCAGTGATCCAGGGGAGACACACCAGACGCTGCAGGGGACATCCTGTCTTTGCGCAGAGTATGTCGGGAGGGTGGAGGCACTGCTGTGAACTTGGCGTGGTGAGGCTTTTGCTGTGATTCTGGGTTATGAGTGAGTGTGTGTGTGTGTGTGTGTGTGTGTAGGAGACGGTGGCTTTCACAGTATTGGATCACCTTCCCTGCCCTTTGACAGTCCTTTTGCAGCAGATAATCCTGTAGATTCAAATGAGAGACATGGGAAGAAAATGGCCCGTATTTCAAGCACAGATTCTCAAGTGCCCCTCTCTTTGTGCTCTGTGGGCTTTGTCCTACAGCTGCCGCAGCTGGGCGCGTCTTCTTGTTGCTGGGGTGCCTCTCCTTCCCTCTGTGCTCCATGTTGGAGGTGCCTGGCCCTGAGCATGGGTGATTTAAGTACTGAGTTGTGCTCGGCACCTCAGAGGCTGCATCTCTGGGCCCCGTTTCGTGGGCGATGACTTTGGAGTCGTCCAGCTTTGCTGCCGACCTCTCTGGTTAGGGAGGCAGAAGGTCCGTGGCCACCTCTAGTGCCCTAGCTCTTAGCTGTCTGTCCTGTCAGGTGGGACTCAGTCTCCTGACTGCACGGAGAGCAGCTGGACTTAGGATAGTTGCTCCCCAGTCCCCAAAACAAGTAGGGGTTAATCACCCCCATTCCCATCATCTCTTGCCCCCAGCATTTGGTTCTGAGCACTTGGTGTTCTTCCCTGGTTTTCTGTCACTAGCATGGGGCATAGTTGGGACAGACGGCAGCGTGTGGCTTGGGAGACACTGCCTTTCACTCCTGGAGCTCAGTGCTGTGCTGCTGACATGCGTCAGAGATCTTTGTGCCTTTCAATCTTTTTTTTCTATGGTAATACTGGGGATTGACCCCAGGGCCTCATGCATGCCAGACAAATGCTGTACCATTGAACTGCATCCCTGCCCAGCCCTTTTTATTTTTTTTTTTGGTTTTTCTCCGGTACCGAGAACCGAACTCATGGCCTTGCGCATGCCAGGCAGGTGCTTTTGCCGCTGAGCTAAATCCCCAGCCCCTGCCCAGCCCTTTTTAGATTTTCTATTTTGAGACAGAATTGTTAAATTGTCCAGGCTGCTTCAAACTTACGATCCTTCTGCCTCATCTTCCCAAGGAGCTGGGACTACAGGTGTGTGCTACCATGCCTGGCAAGTGTCCTTCAATCTTGAGCATGGTGACCTGGTTAGCATCTAGTACTCTGGTCATTGTCTACAAGCTCCCAACTAGAGCCACACTGCTCATGCCCATTGGTGTCAGGCCCAGAGGGGGGCAGCCCTCTCTTTTGCCTTATCTAGTCTGCCTAGATATTTATTTCCTATCTTTTCTTACAAGTAGCTAAGCCATGCTGGTGCCCTGCCCTTATTCCTGCCCCAGCTGAGGGAGGGAAGTCAGAGTAGAGCACAAAAACTGTGATGCTGAGACATGTGGTTTTCTCACAGTTGGCTTATCGAATCCTCAAGAACTAGTGAAATAAATGCTAGACCACCGAAGATCGTGCAAGAGGAATTCTGGGGGTTGGCTGCTTTTTTCTCTTGGAAGCCCGAGAGGATCAGCAGCGTGTACGCTTCTGGGCAGGAGGGGGCTTTGGGAAGGTGTGTATGTGGTGCAACCCAGTGTCCCTAAAGGCAGCCCCCACTCTCTCTTCTATGAGCCCCTCACTGGCCCCTCAAGAGCCCTCCACAACTCCCGCTAATGTTCTAGTGTAATTTACATGTATCTGCTGTTGCTGAATGGGAAGACCCAGATGGCAGAGGTCAGGCATCAGCTGATACCAAGTTTACCTTCCTGCCTTGTAGAATGCCTGACACTCTCGGAATCCCCCTGCCCCCCCCCGCCCTCCTCCTGCCATATGAACCTGTTCATAGCTTGGTGCAAGGAGTGACTTCTCTGCCTCCCCTCTGGTTGTTTTGAAAACCCCAACTCAGATTCCATGTTAGGGTCTGGTTCCTTGCAAGCAGCTGCGTGTTTAGTGGCACTAGAGCTATTCTCTGCCAGCCAGTCCCTGTGGGAGCTGGGTCTAGGGAAATGCTTGCAAGTGGGTAGAGGCAGCAGTCATCGGTAGTAGTTTAGAATGCAGAGAGTGGTGGGACTTGAATTAGGATTCCACATGCACTCAATGACTCAATGTGGATCCTGCTGCCAGACCCAGTTAGGAGCCAATGCTGTTTACCTCGTGGGCACTACTGCTGCTGAGCGCAAGTGTGAGAACTCTGCACACCAGGGGCCAGGGCCGGGAGGGCGTGGGGCTGGGCGGACTGGCACCCCTTGTGCTGGCCTCACTGTGCCCCTCACCACTGTGCATGCAGCCTGCGCCTTGCATGCTCAGGAACAGGTGCAGAGCTCCTGCAGGGAGCGACAGGGAAACGACATCTCCGCTGCTTCACTCTAACATGCATAAAGCACCCCAAGAAAATGAATGGGTACAAGCATAAAGTAGAGTGGAGAAAGAAGTGCCTTTGGCATCCTGGCGCACACTTCATTGATTTCTCCTGTTCTTGGTAACTGAGTCAGCGTGCTGCTCTGAGCAGCATTTAGGCATCAGGTGCAAGCAGCCATAGGCACCCAAGGCCCTGCTTTCTGGCACCAGTTCCTCTGCTGCTGCCTAGGACTCTCCCAGCACAATCCTACTTTTAAGGCATAGGGCTTTATTTCTGTTCACTTTCTGAAGGAGGGGTTTAAATCAGAGGGTAAGGACAGAAGAAAATGGACTAAGCCAGCAGAGGCCGAGAGTCTGTTTTTTATTGTTATCCTGTGTTTGGCTGGGTACAGAAATGCCCTCACCCCCACTGTCCTCCAGCAGGAACAGAGATGGCTGCAGATGGCTCTTAGCTGCTGCAGTGGGCCTCAGGGCTTACAAAAGAGCACAGTGGGTTCACCTTCCAGCGTGAAGTACAAACCCTAATTCAGCCACACTTCACCAGGAGGAAGTGATCAGAGCTGAAGGCACTTGAATGGAGAAGCAAGCCAAGGCCAGACATGGTCTCCTTCTGCTTCCCGATACTTCACACAGCGCTGGAGAATCAACCAGTGCTGGGGGCAGCTGGGTTAGTGCTGACGGGGCAGGGCGCAGTCTGGTCACTGGTAGAACTTCTTGCTGGGGCTGTTAGCATGGTCGAGGAGCAGCTGGCATGGGGTGAACTGTTTTCCGTAGACAGCCTCGTACTTCCGGAGCCGGTCCACAATTTTCTGGGCACCGTACAAATCCACGAAGCGGAAGGGGCCTAAGTGGAAAAACAGGTCATTGTCAGTTAAAGGAGACAGGAAGAGTGCCAGGCCAGAGCCAATTCCTCAACCTGCAGACCCACCTCCGAGACAGGGGGGGAAGCCGAGCCCAAAGACCGCTCCGATGTCTCCCTCCTCAGGGGTGGCCAGGATGCCTTCCTGCAGGCACATGACTGCCTCGTTCACAAATCGTGTCACCACGCGGTACTGGATGTCTTCGTCAGAGGAGCTGCACACAGGAAGGACAACTTAGCCAGAGGACACGGGGAGGCAGGCAGGATGGGGTGCAGGGGAGAAGTGTGGGTGGATGTGGGAGCTGCTTGACCAGTCAAGACTGCGCCGCCCACTGTGCGGAGGACTCAGCCCAGGAGGACCGCTGTGCCTGTGGACAGGGCTGTCACTTGGCCGGACAGGAAACTCAGTGCCTGCAGCAGGGCCTCGCAGAGGGGCTAATCGGTGTTCCTTCCACCAGCAATGGTCAGGTGCTCAAAAATGACAGAGCTGGGAGGATAAAGGGGGCTGGGATAATCTGTCCTAGCTGCTCTCTGGGACTGTGCCGGGGTGGCTGGAGCAGCAGGGCCTTCCCCAGGTGTGGCCTCCTCTCACCTTGGTGCCTACAGAGCTGAGGGCATAAGCAAGGGCTTTGCCCCTGTGAAGCCCTGTGCCAGTTTCAGGGCGTTCTCTCTGTTCAGGTGACCACAAAGGGAATAGAGAGGGGCGAGGGAGCTTTGGGCTTGTAGAGAAACATCCATTTCCATGCCATTCATCACTCAAATTGACTTACACCTCAGGCTTAGCAGGCAGCTTCAGACTTGCAAAAATACTATCCATGTCAGAGTTCAAATTCTTATTCTTTGAACCTTCCTGGTAGATGTAAAAGCCCTTCCCAGATTTGCGACCTAAAAGAAGAGGAGGTAGTGTTACTATTGCTCTTTATTCCTGGCCAAGAATTCTCATCTCTGCTGGCCTGTTGTGAGGCTCTAGTCTCTTCTCTGAATTCGAGTTTAGGGGTGTTAGCCAAATCTAGCAATTTAGTTGTCATTAGAAGACCTGGCAGAAGCCGGACATGGCGACACCCTCTACACCCAGCCCTCTGGGAGGCTGAGGCAGGAGGATTGTGAATTTGATCCCAGCCTGGGAAGCTTAGCAACACCCTGTCTCAAATACAAAACACACACACACACACACACACACACACACACATACACACGCATACACGCTTTCTGGAGCTTGGCAATCTGTATTTGGATGGAAAGGCCACTTAGGGGAGTTTAAGTATCCAGATACGCAACACCAGGCCCAGGTGGGGCTTAGGATTATGCCAGGGGTGGCTGCAGCAGCAGGGCCCTCCCCAGGAGTGGCCTCCTCTCACCTTGGTGCCTACAAAGCTGAGGGCATAAGCAAGGGCTTTGTTCCTATGAAGCCCTGTGCCAGCTTTAGAGTTCTCTCTAAGCAGCAAAGTCATGCTAAGTGGTGACTTTGCTGTTACTTCCACAGATACAAAACAGGCTCTGGGCAGGTGTGTTTGTCCACCTGACAGAACTTGGGCCTGGTAGTGGCAGAGACCCCAAAGACCAGATCCTTGCCTTTTGCCTGTAATCTATATGCATAATGTAAGAGGAGTTCCTCATAAAATCATTTTTGAAGTGCCCTGTGATTGGTTCTGGGCCTTTGTAGCTCTCTAGCTGCCGGAAGCGACTCAGAGCTTTGTAACTAACTGTGCTGGTCAGGTATCCTTGTGGCTACTCACCCAGGAAGCCCTTGGCCACCATCTGTTTCAGCAGTTCAACATTTCCACCTCCAAACCGCTCCCCAAAGGCTTTGCCTAGATCTTCTGCCACGTGCTGCGCTACATCCACTCCAACTTCATCTGTCAGGGTGGCAGCACCCACAGGAAAGCCAAAGCCTGTGGTCAGGGAATCCAGCTTCTTAGGGTCCACTCCTTCCTGGACAGCAAGTGAAGCAGGGGCCTCAGGGTAAGGCCACTTCAGATTTGCTCACCGTAAGGCTCCCCATCCTAGCCCCAGACACAGCCTAGTGCAAAACCCACTTCTCTTCCCAGTGCTACCAAGCCAGGCTTGGGATGGGTGCTGTTTCACTCAGGGAAGCACAGGTGGAAATTCCGTAACACCTTAAAGAAGTTTAGAGATGAACAAATTACCCACTTTCTTCATGTGTACAATCTCAGTACTAAGGAGATACTGTGGCTGACAGACAGCACCACGACTGGAGGGAGAGATGTCACTACTGCTAAGGAGCAGGGCTGCAGCCAGGTCTGAGTTAAGAGCACAGCTGAAAGGACACCCCTCTTGTCCTGAAAGGAATGACCTAGCCAGCCACGGGTGGGCTGTGTGTGTCTGACCAAGCAGGTCCCTGCCCAGAGGGAAGGCAGAAGCAGCGGGCACGAGCGTTTCGGGAGGGCACTGGCCAAGCAGGAAGGGGAAGCACAGGGAGCCCGTTTAGTGCAGCCTCTGCCTTGTCATTCCCCACTGCCATGCGGGAGAGGCGCGCACCAAAGGCCCTACTGGGAAGAGGCAGGAGTCGTGCATGTGGAGGAGGCCTGACCCTCATGTGGACATCTTCAGTTTGGAGGACTGAGTGGAGGAGCGGGAGAGGTCTGAAGCCCTCCACGGAGCACTCCGCACCTGCAGGATCCGTATGACTTCAGACATCATGGGCGCAAGACATCTGGTGGTGTAGAAGCCAGGTCCATCCTGCCGAGAGAGAGATGAGCTCACTGCTCCCTTTGGCTAAAATGACCTGTGTCTGAAATCCCTTTCCCAGACGTCATTTTGTTTTTAATTTTTGGTTTTTTGGTGATAGCTGGGACTGAACCCAGGGCCTTCCTACTCAGCTTATTTTTTTCTGTTGAGACAGGGTTTCACATTGCTCAGACTGGGCTCAAACTTGTGATCCTCCTACTTCAGCCTTCCAGAGTGCTGGGATCACAGGTATGTGCCACAATGCGCAGCTCATTATTTCAAATTAGAGGTGATTTAAAATCTCAATCAGAAGCTGGGTGTTGTGGGGTATCCTAGCACTTAGGAGTTGAGGCAGGAGGATCGCCGTGAGTTTGAGGGCTATATTATGAGTTCAAGCCCAGCTTGGAATATAAAGCAAGGCTGTCTCAAATAACCCCAAACAAAAAGCAAAACATAAAACCTCCATCAGAATCCTTGATATTAAACCACAGTGGAAGCAGTGTCAGGTAGTCTGGCAGAGCAGTTTTCTGGATGCCTTTAAGGTCCTGCATGGCTAGGAGAACCCAGAGACTCCTACTCCTACCTGTCCCTTGTGGAGACCACCAAGAGACGAAGCTGGGACATTTGCCCCAGAATAGAAATAAGTAAGTCTAGAGGGGGGCTGGGGATTTAGCTCAGCGGCATAAGCGCCTCCCTGGCAAGCGCAAGGTCGTGAGTTCAATTCCTGGTACCAGAAAAAAACCAAAAAAACACCAAAAAACAAAAAACAAACAAACAAAGTAAGTCTAGAGGTACTAGGAACTTTTGGGAATGTGCCACTGTTTCACAGCTCCTTACCTTAACCACAATGATGACCTTGCCCTGCTTGAGACCAACTGCTACAACAGAAGCAGTTGTGTCTTGACTCGTTTTCTCAGTTGTGATGATCTCCAGCAGCTGCATCTTGTCCACAGGAGAGAAGTAGTGCATGCCAATCACCTGGCAAAGGAGCCGAAAGCCAAGAGATTTATGAATGCTGAGGAGGAAAGTGTACACCTCCCTTTTCTGCTAGGAAAACAGTGGGGAGAGAGGTGGCTGTGGCAGAGGGAGACTGCTGAGTCTGGTGGTTTGGTTCTGTGGGTCTCTGATGGAAAGTTCAGCATGTTCAGGGCAAGCTTACTGGGTCCTCCTTTTCCCGCTGCTTCTGAGGATCTTGACCCTACCAAGAGTCACTGCCAAAGCCACAGCCAAAGGCCACACTGCATTTATTGGAGAAGGATGAATGAAGGTTCCACTCATAGTACTGATGCTGATGGTTTAGGTGAGAGGATCCACTTTTTTGGCAAGAGACAGAAGTTGGTTAATATACAGGACTGTCAGACATGTATTTGCCTTTGCACAGATAGGGCTCCGGGAGGAGACTTAAATAACATCTCTCAATAGTCAAATGCACTTCAGAATCATTAAACCAATGATTCCATAGTGCAGTGCTCAGACCATCGGCATTAGCATTGCGTATGATTGCATCGGGATGTTAGACCTATGGACCTCAGACCATTTACAACTGTGTAACATATAGATCAACTGAGTGTTATACAAATTTATCAGCCCCAAAGCTTCTAACCCCTGAACTGTTCTACTTATGTCTAAATTATTAGGACCTGACTGACACTTGGTCACCCTGGGCAAAAGGACTCAGCCTTCACTGACATACAGCTTACACAGAATAAAAGGCATGGACCTTTATGTGTTCTGGTTAGTAGTTCTGACAATGTTTATACACCCCCACAATCACTACTGTAGGCAAAATATGTTCAGATCACTCAGAAAGTTGTGCCAAAGGTGACCACTTATCCTGGACTGCTGGAACTTTCCCACTGTAGCACTGAAGGTCCTGTGTTCCAGGAATGATGCTGGCAAGAGAGTGGAGATGGCTCATCCGCTACCTGTGCACCTGTGGCCTTACTTGGAATATGAATGACATAAGACAAGCAGGAGACAAAAGTTATCTCAGGGGTTGGGTATATAGCTCAGTGGTAGAGAATTTCCCTAGCATGCACAGGTTCCTGAGTTCAATCCCTAGTATCACAAACAGAAACAAAAAACCAACACTATCTCAGGTACCCCGAAGACTTGGACTGCAAAGCACATGGCTTGCTCCATTGCACAGGGAAGAGTCAGATCAAATGAACAGTCATGGACTCTCCTGTACTGATTTTTTTTTTTTTTTTTGAGACATGTCTCACTGTGTAGTCCAGGGTGTCCTCAAACTCATGATCTTCCTGCCTCAGCCTCTTGAGTGAATGCTGGAGTTATGGGAGTGTACAACTGTGTCTGGCTCTTCTCTGTACTGACTTTAAATGCTACAGAGCTGCTCCATGTCCAGACTGTCCACTGCAAAGTGTATAAACAGCTTTCATACTTTTTTGGTGTCTTCCCTCAGAAGCCGAGTATCAGTGTGACTGCTGGCTGTCACTTCTGCATCTGAGTTTTCTCCTGCCCTCCCGAGCCTGCTGCATCAGGGTCCGCATCCTCTCAGCCCTGCTGGATGGTCCTGCACTAGCAAAGCTCTGAGTAGGAGGAGAGACTTTTGCTTTTGGTACGCAGACTTTGCACTGGTAATTTCAGCTGCTTAACATGTTCCCTGTGACTTGAACCACTGAGGATACATGCATGGCTATCCCATCGTACCACTGGATGGGACTCTCATGCAGCCTGATGGGACAGTCATGCGCGTACCACCAGGGGTTCAGAGCCACTCAGTAGTGAGATACGTAACTGTGTTAAAGGCCTTCTGTATTTCCTGCCCACCTCTGGCTGATTCCTACTAGCTGAGGCAGTAAGTAATCCTCTTGAGACCTGAGGTATGGTATTTTTCTTTGAATGACTGAACCTCCCTTTAATCATTATGGTTGGACAAAGGTAACTTTCTCGGCCTCATCCCAGATGCTCTCTGGAAGTGCTTCTGTGCTGGCCCCCTGTGGTCTAAGAAAACCCACAGGCAGACACAGCCCCATTCACCTCGACCCTCCCTTCTTCCACCTGGAGTTGTAACCGGACCTGTCCTGAACAGTCACTAGACTCTGCTCTGTATTTATTTAGGGCCTATCCTTCAATGCCTGACTGTAGGATAAAGGAAGATTTTTATAGTCTGAACTTGAAAAATAATACCCACTGGGGATGCAAATCACCGAGAGCCGCATATTTCAGCTGTACTTCACTTATTCCTGTGTCATACACTGGTGACGGTCTTAGCTTTCCTGGGCCTAGTGTCTGGGAATTGCCTCACCCACTTCGCAATCCACGCTGGCCCTTCTGCTCATGTTGTAAGCCTTACTCAGCCTGCAGCGTAAAATATTTCAGGTTTTTTCCCTATGCTCGGAGTTTACCTTCTCAGGTCTTTTGCTGACAGCAGCAATTTCCTTGATGGGGAGAGCAGAAGTATTACTGGCAAAGACACAGTGATCTGGAATCACCTGCAGGGCAGAAGCATTTAAGAATGTCACATAGGTCTGGGAGATATGACAGAGTCCACAGCAAAGCTAGTGAGTGACACCTGGGCCCAGCCCAGCCTCTCACCCACAACTGCTCAGCCGGCAGCTGCCACTCAGCCAGACACTTACTGGTCACCTGGGGGCTCTGAGTTGGGGGATGTGTTGCCCTTGTTCTCTTTCCCATTCAGCCTTCCGCTAGCTATGGTCTTATTGTTAGAACTTTAAAACAATTTTTTTTTTAGTGTATGTTTGTGATCCACAGTGAATACAGTATACTCACCACAGTGTATTGGTACATACACAAATCACATCTCAGTCCTTTTTACCTCCCCTTCCCTTCCGCTTCTATGGTTTACATCTTAAATGTCCCCATAAAATCTAGTAAGCTTGGAAAGTGACTAGATCAGGAGGGCACTGTACTCATCAGTGGGCTCACCCATGGAGGAATTCGGTAGGTGAATGTGCAGTAGATGAATGGCCTGGTCAGAGGCGGGTCCCTGTGGGCATGACTATGGCTGTATTCTTGACACCGGCTCTCATTCCTCTCTGTGCTTCCTGGCTGCCATCATGTGAGAAGCTTACCTCGGCCAGGCCTTTCTACCATACCATTTCTGCCTGGGGAGTAGCTGACCATGGACTGAAACCACTGACGCTGTGAGCTGAAATAAACCTCTCTTTCTTTAAGCTGTGGATGTCAGGTATTTTGTCCAGCAATGGGAAGTTTAATATGTATGGTCTTTCATAAAGTCACTTAATCCTGACCTAAAGACTGTCTCAGCAATGGGTAAATAAACACTGAAAAGATGGCTCTGAATCAAGTTTCAAGACCTGGGATGGGTGTTAACTCTTGTTCTTCTTTGGACCTGACTCAAGTCTGAAGGTCTGTGACACCTCCTACCTCACATCCACCTGTTACTTTCCCCAGCTCCTTTCCCTCTACATACTACATGCTCTCCTACAGGCCATGGTCTTCTCCTCTTCTCTACCTTCCAGGTTTTCTGTACCACCTCGTCACTCCCTTAACCTTTATGTTCTGCTGTAACTACTATCTTGACTTGTTTGTAGTCTATACTTCTCTTGATTTGATTCAGTCCCTCTTTTTCTTTTCCTGGACCCCTTCCTAACTGCCAAAAGTATCCATTGTGACATTCCCAAATCCAGATTTTCCAAGAGCAAATACCATGTCCTAGTTTGTAAGAGCTCTCACCTCAGTTGTGGGGAGCATGTCCCTTTCCCTGACCTGGCAGTGTCCTCCAAGACCTGGAGACATCCATCACCTGAGTCTAAAAGGTGCAAGACCCTCTGGCACAGACGGGAAACAAATGTACCCAGCTCTTCTGAATTTTCTCCCTCAGCTGAATCTAGCACTATACTTTGATTTTTGGAATGTGTGTCCCATGACTGTACTTCCTCCCTGACGGAGCTTCTTGGGTTTAATTTCTAACCTCTATAGCTTTAGATTTGTGAAGGGCAGAAACTCTCCCCATATGGAAGGGCATCTTCAGAGTACTGCCACCTTCACCACAGCTGCTGCAGACACCAGGGTGCTGCTGAGTCAGTAGCACTCCACCCGTACCACTTCCTAGCCACATTCTCTTTAGCCAAAAGGGTCTGTTTAGCAGTGGTCCTGCCCCATGCCTGGATGACTGCCACTGCTCCTTTCCTTGGCTCGCTCTTTATACTGCACACTTAAAATACTTGATTTGTTCACGTCATCCTATCTCAGGAGCTAGCTATGGAGAGCATTTGGGAGCAGGGCCAGAGTGCATTTCCATGAACAAGCAGGCAAATCCTGCCTGGAGAAACCATCTCCCCCCATATGTTCTTTGCTGCACAGACCCGAAGAATTTTGGTTACAAGTGCGGCCACTCAAAAAAATCTCAAGGCATCTGGCTGTATTCCATGAGGTTACACTTATGTTTGGGTGCCTGATCTCCCACATGAATAAGGATAATGGACCCTGGGTTTAGGTTAATAAACCACTTAATTTCCTTTAGGGTTTAGATTTGACCTTTAAAATGTACAGAGTACATGTAGCTCAGTGGTAGAGTGTTGGGCTAACATGCTTGAGGCCTTGGGTTTGACTCCCAGCAACACAACATGTTAATAAACCCCTTTGTTTGGAAAAGAACAATCCTATGCAAAGAATCATGATTTTCCTGTTGCTCTTTAAAAAAAAAAAAAAACCATCTTAATGTCCTCCACTTGATCCACTGGGCGTTAAGCACAACAGGCTCCTTACCGCTTCTACTTCCTTGAGCACTTTGTGCTTAATACTAAGGTCCTCAAAAACAGCTTCAATCACCATGTCAGACTTTTCAAAATCCTGGTAATCGAGTTGCCCAATCAAGTTGCTGAAGAAAGAGTCCCTTTCAAATGATGTTATAGCTTTCTTCTTCACTTTGTCGTTCAATCTAGAAAAAACATTTCTAGTCAGAAGAGGGGGACACTAGCACTTAGTGCCACTGTGTGTTCCTCATTAGCTCTGTGATTATTATACCACCCTAGTTTGAGGGGGCTGAGCTGCTCAAAAAGGGCCCAAAGGGCTTGAAGACAAATAGTTAAGGGAGGGGAGTAACATTCAAAGAGAGGTTAATTTCCAAGCGCACGTGCTTTCCTCTACAAAATGCCTTTAAACGCCAAACTTACATAAACTGTATCCCTTATAAAACACCTCCCTTTACCATGGTATTAAATAATACAAGAATATAAAACAGAAGAACAGCAGTTCTGCTAATTCTCCCCCTCACAGGGAAATAGCCCAAGCGCGCCCTCCACCACTGGCATTCTCCTTGCTTATGTATCACTATGTCGTTCTCTACCTGTAGTCTGTGGAGGGCAGAGACCAAACTGTTTCTCATATTCTCCAGCCACTTCCCACTCAGCACCTAGTAGCACACTGCACTGATCATATCAAATATTAACTTCTGCTTTCTCCCTTCCCACAGGGAGCTAAGAGAGACTCCTGCTACTCAGTAACGGAGTGCTGTTGATGGCTAAGGAAACCAGGCTCTCTTAGGATCAATCTGACTATACTCTCAGAATAAATAACCTGGAGTTTTCCTCTGAAGGAATTATGAAGCTGAACTCCATTCAATGATTTCCTTAGCCAAATGAGTCAAAGAAGTACCCAATTCAGGTCTTAAAAGGGGGTTTGAAGCTTTTGGTTTCTGATAACCACAACAGCAGTCAGCAGACAAGAGACTTGTCCGAGTACAAAACTATTAGTTGCTCCTGTTTTTCTTTTTTTGAGACAGGGCCTGGCTCTGTAACTCAGGCTGGCCTTGAACTCACTAGGTAGCCCAGGATGGCCTGGAACTCACTCCTGTCTCAGCCTCCCAAATGTGTCCTTTAGGACACTGGTTTGTTTTATAGCAATGGTGCTGCCTTATGTAGCCTATGCCATTTCTGTGGCTTATGGGTCAGACCTTTTACTGTAACTTCTTTTTATCTTGCAGTCATCTGCCGACATGACTGGCCTGTCAGGTCCCGGTTAGCAATATGGGCTCCTCTGCGGACGAGCGATTACAATGTGCTTATGCTGTATAATCCATTTAAGAAATAAAGGCATGAGCAGGATAGTCTATGGGGAGCCAGCTCATCCATCACGTTTGAGCAAAAGGCTGTGCTGCTACCAGCCCCAGTCTGGCCAAGCTGCTGCTCTATTTTCCCTCTGCAAAACTGGCAGCGTGTGTGCAGTGAAAGCCCAGGCGTGGCAGGAGAGGAAGATAGTCCCCTTTATCAATGAACAGGTAGGATGGAGACACTGCAAACCCTCAAGCGTTATGGGCTCACCAGGAAATGACTTGCTTTGTCATGCCAGTCAGGAAACACAAGGCCCAAGAATCCTGATCCTGGCCGGGCCTTGACCCTGCAGTTACCTCACATTCCCTCCTGCCCCAACCTCAGCCGTTTCAAGAGAGAGGGACCTGCTGATGCAGGGAGCAACACCGCAGTTACTGCAAAGTGCAGCAAAGTCCACAGACCCAAGACTTTCCAGTCTGATACCAAAAGTGTAAAACAAATGGTATTTAAAGTATCTACTAAGAAAACAACACAAAACAAAAAAACAAAGAGTCTATTAGAAAAGGTTTCCCCTTCTGCACTCAAAGACTACAGACTCCAATAATGTTAAAAATCCATGAGGCTTGGTGTGGTGGCACATGACTGTAATCCCAGCACTTGGGAGGCTGAGGCAGGAGGATTGCTGCCAAGTTTGAGGCCAGGCTGGACTACAACATGAGCTTAATGCCAACCTGAACTGCATAGCAAAAACTTATCTCAAAAAAAGAAAAAAAGGTCAATGAAAGCTATAACAAAATGAAGTGAAGAAAAGGATTACCATTTCTAGAAAAAAGAACCTACAATGGTAAGAAAACAAAAATAACAACAAATACGCACATGTATGCACACAACCAAACCATGACCCCCACAAAACTCAAAACAAAAAAACAGACAGCGGGCCTACCCTTTGAACACTTGCTGCTGTCCCCGGCCCAGCCCGGCTACCGTAACATCTTTAAGCAGGGTCTTCAGTCCCTTATCCACAGAGACCTGCGCGATGCCAGCTCCCATCAGCCCTGCCCCGAGAATGGCCAGTTGTCTGACAGGAAAAAGAGGAAATGATTTTGGTAAACAATTTTTACTCATTTCAATAAAAGTGGGAGGTTGCCCAAGTTATCATCCAGTGAATCAACTATGAGGTGCTTCACATAATCTTTAGCTATACAAATTTAGCACTAACAATTTTGTTTTCAGTACTGGGGACTGAACCCTGTGCGTGTGAGGCAAGTCCTCTACCTATGCGCTACATCCTGTCCCTTTTATTGTGAGGTGAGCTCTTGTTAATTGCTCAGGTTGGCCTTGAACTTGGGATCTTCCTGCCTCAGCACCCCGAGTAGGTGGGATTACAGGCATGTACCACCATGTGCTTAGATGATTGATTTTGAAGTTGAATGCCAAAATCCATTGTGTCTAAAAGAACTGCTCTTCCCATGAAGACAGAACGATACTAATTTTCAGCTGTGCCTGGAGATCATGAAAACAAAATCAATCAAATTTAAGCTTAAGTCAATACGTGTATTGTTTTCTAAATAAAAGCTAACTTCCAGATTAACTTCTCTTCTTACCTGTTAATTATTTGTTAGTGACTGTACATTTTCTACTGACTTTTCCTTGGCACAAACCCAGGCCTCTATCACCCCACATCTGCACTAGCTCAGAACTCTTCTTGCTGGACTCTGCTCCAGGCCTCCCTCTCTCTCCGGTGCCTCCACTCATGCACATCCTTGCTTTTTTCACCCAACTTCTCGGGGCCACTTGATTTACCCCATGGTATTTTGCAATGGCTTCATCTACACCTTTGCTGTCTTCTCAAATTCTAAGCTTTCTGAGGACCAGAGATCACATGTGATTGTTCATTTTAGTTCTCAATAGGTCTGGAACAATATACTATTTAATAAATAAGTAAAAGGAATTTTACAGCATTACTTCCTCCAGTCATCTGGGAGACTGAAGCAGAGGATCACAAATTTGAGCTCAGGTTGAGCTAGTTAACGGCCTAGTGAGAGCCTGTCTCAAAAATAAAGAAAATACCCAGGTATGATAGCACACACCTATAATCCCAGCACTCCGGAGGCTGAAGCAGAAGAACTGTGCAAGTTTGAGGCCAGGCTATACAGCGAGTTCAAAGACAGTCTTGAACTACATAGCAAGACCATGTCTTACCCTGCGCCCCTAAAGGCTGGGGATATGGTTTAGAGCCAAGGCCTTGGAAGCCCAGGTTTACAGCACTGTAGACCTACATCAGAGCTCTCGAGGGATAAAGTTTTATTTCTAATCATTCTGATTCTTATGTTTGAAAATCATACTCAAATCCTAAAAAGGCAACCTAACTTCAAGTCCCAAGAGCATCTCTCAAGGGCAGCTTCGTAATAATACAAATGTTTATCAGCTGCCTTTTCTTTAATTTCTTCCCCAAGTCAGGTCAACTCTTACTCCATCTTGTTTCTTTTCTATTTAGTTCTGAGTTTTTGAATTTCTGATTTGAAGTGATTTTTGTCTTAACCGCAAATGCTTAACGAAATGTTGCAGGTTCTTCTGCACTGTGGTGGCTCTCGGGGAGGATTTCCTAAGTCACAGTGCTTTGGTTCTTTTCTTATTTGCTTTAATGGATGCTGCCCCTCCCTCTTTGTGCATTTGCTGCACAGTACCAATTTCTCCAGGTGGTTCTGTACACCATCTGCACATAACAGGAAACCTGCATGTAGTCAGGAGGAGCAGGCTAACGTGGCAAACCGGGTTTCTTCATCTAAGAGTACCTTCTGCTGCAAAGTGACGGAACTGACAACATTCTTTGTGTACAAGGAGGGATGGGAGAGAAAAGATGAGGTGGGGTGGAGGTCATGGGGCTTAGGATGTGAAATTCTGCAATACTTTTAATACTCTTGTTTCTTGCTTCCTTTCCTTCTTGTTACAATAAAGTCCCCTCTTAGAAATCAGCCATGGTTCTCTGACTTCTGTTCATGCTCTGCCTGGCGAATAGGGCTTTGCTTTCCTTGTTAATCTGTTTGGTCCTTGGAGAAAGAATGAAGAGATTAAGTTTAGGCGGCCATCGTTACTGTATCTTCCCATCAAATGCAAGGGACTGTCAATGTTAAGTGGAACAGACTCCAGCTGGGCCTCACTGGCACCCATGCTCAGGGCTGGGGAAGGCGTTAAGGTTGTCTTTCAGACTCTATTTGGAAATCAGCCCTCCTGGCTACAATCTGATCTGTCTCGCCCCATGTTCTTATGCATCTAATCTATCTTCGCTTGTAATCTCATTAAAGATGAGAGGACACGGACAGCAATACTGTTAGCTGCTTTTCTTCAGTCCTTCACCAGTAACTCAGCTAGTGCAGGGTTTTTCAACTTCAGCACTACTGATTCTTTGGACTTGAAAATTTTTGTTAGGGGGCTGCCTTGTGCACTGTGGGCTTGGCAGCATCCCTGGCCACTAATATTAGATGCCAGGAGCAACCCTTCCTCCCTACTTGTGACAACCAAAAGTGTTCTCAGATGTCCGCTGGAGGCAGCAACATCGCCCAGGTTGGAAGTACTGAGCTGAAGGAGAGTTTCGGGGCATCAGTGAACTTGAGAAGCTGCAGTGCTTTCAGGCAACAGAACACTGAGACAGGCTTCCAACACAACAAGCCAAGTACAGTCTCCACTGCTTAGGGTGTAAGCTGGAAAAAGCACAAGACTTTACCAATTACAATGAGGCTTTCTGGTTTTTAATGAGGGAGAAAGGCAGGTTCCTAGAGATGGCATTTTAGGTTGAGGGAGAGAGAAGACCACTGGACAGTGTGAAGTGCATGTGGTTCTTTTAGGAAGAAGGACCTAACCCAGACTTCTGGAGGACAGCAGTATGTGACAAGAAAGCTCTACAGGAGTCACCTGGAAGACCCAGAGAAAACTTAGCAAAGGCAGAACTTTCACAACCAAATGTTCTGGTAGGAGGAAAGCCTCTATTGTGATCGGGACACAGGAGGCAGAAATCTGCTTCTGGAGCTCTTCAAAGCAGTCTGTAAGCTCTGCACATAATAAAACTCATGAGGGATTCCCACATAGAGTTTAACTTACTTAACTTCCTTCTGAGGAGTTCCAAATTTATTTTTCTTGCACAGGACTTGGCCATGATACAGTCCCATCAAGGCCTTTGATTCTTTGGTCATTGCAAGCTCTCCAAATTTCTGAAAAGTAAAGGAAAATGAGAAAAGGTAGAGCTTCCTGGTCTAGGTCAGGGGTGGTGAACCTGTGGCACGCATGTTATTGTGTTTTTCTTTTAAGACAAAAAGTGTTATTGTGTGAGTTGTTTTTTCTAAACGAAAACCTCAGTATTCAGGGCTAAGGCAGTGTTGGGACTTTGTGGTATCGTCTCTAAAAGGTTCGTCATTACTGGTTTAGGTGATGTGGTTTCCTCTGGTTCACTTTTCTCTGAAGAGCAAGGGTAAAGCATACAGCGCCTTAGTTCCTCAAAAGTCCCAACGGTCTCAGCCAAGTCCCTAGGCTGCCGAAATCTATCTTCTGCTGATGCGTCACTTCCTTACTACTCTTATCTAGAGTTCTTTAAGAACACTGCTTTGGAAAAAGGCTTTGTACATATGCAACCAAACTCCTGAGTTCTTTACAGCAGGAGTGGGAACTTCTGTCATAGAACTGGAGTTTTGAGGCTGAAATGGGCCTTTGTGACTGTCTCCACCACCCCTGTGGATTAAAGACAGGAAAGAAGAGGCCCAGAGATGATATGGGACTGTGCTCTAAGTCAGACTGCCTCAAAGCATCAGAAATGCAGTGTGAACCCAGGCAGACTTTTAACACCAGTTCTTTTTCCACTGTAGCAGGGTACCCACAGAATATCTTTTTTTTTTTTTTCCTGATCTTTTTGAGACAGGGTCTCACTATGCAGTTCAGGCTGGCCTTGCGCTCACTTTGTAGTCTAGGCTGCCCTTGAACTCGTAGTGATCCTCCTGCCTCAGCCTCCCGAGTGCTAGGATTATAGGCATGAGCCACCAAACCTGGCCCCCACAGATTACTACCACTTTAAAAAGTATCCCGACACTTATGGAGATTGAGTCTCAACTTTGTGGTTAACTGCGTAAGATCTAGAGTCTAGGTTTGAATCTTGATTCTGTTATCTCCCTACTGCAAAGATTTCTTCATCCTTAAAGTAGGAAAACCAATATCTCTTTTATGGTATTGCTGTGGGGATCAGATGAGAACACTATGAAAATTACTATTAATATTATTACAATGTACTAGTAAGATTGCATGTTACAAATAGTATTTCCAAGAAATGCTGGGCATGGTGGTGCACACCTGTAATCCCAGCACTTGGAAGGCTGAGGCAAGAGGGTCATTGTGAGTTCAAGGCCAGTCTACACTACAGTGAGTTCAAGGTCTGCTGGAACTACATAGTGAGACCCTGTCTCAAAAAACCAAAACTAAAACCAAGACCCAAACCAAAGGAGGAATCCTTTCAATAAAGTTCCTCTCATGCCCTAGTAGAATCTGAAATAAGGTTCCACAGAATCAATGCTTTAATTTTACTATAGCATGTTTTATTCCAATACACCTGTGATTTTCAAATTGTGGTTAAAGATCCATCAGTGGTCATGAATTTAGTGGGATATGATAAACACTGTATTTAAAAGAAGTAGAACAGAGTAACCTCTTTGTATCCATGGAAGACTGACTAGTTTCAGGGACCCCTGATGACACCAAAATCCACAAATGCTCAAGTTAGATAAAATATATTTGCTTGTCTTTCTGTACATTTTAAATCTAATGCCATAAATTTAGTTGTTGCACTGTACTGTTTAGAGAATAACAACATGAAAAAAGTCTGTACATACGCAGTATAGGTGTGATATTTTTTTCCTCTGAACATTTTTCTTCTGGGGTTTGAAGCCAGGGTCTAGTACAAACTCAAAAAGTCCCCTGCAACTGAGCTATACCCCAGCCTCCGTCTAAGACTTTTTGGTCTTTAGTTGGTTGAATCTTTGGATGCAGAACCTGTGGATCCAACTTACACAGAAAACACTGAGGACAGTGCACAGTGAGGGCAATTACTGCTTTGTCAACTGCAAGCTTCAGTGTGTCTGTAAATATGTACATGTATATATGTTATGATTTTTTAAAAGATCAGAAATGCTTAAGGAACAATCTAGTACTAGAAATAGTTGTCTGGAATCTGTCCTGAGCTCCTTAGACCCTTTTTGTTCTATTATCCTATTACTGAATTTTTCAGAGACTGGTTAAAACTTAAAAAACAACCCAAACTAGCTAAATGTGCAATGTCGCCAACTTGTTAGAAAAGTGCAAGGGGTGAGACTGGTTCTCAAATCCCTCCTGTCTTTGTCTTTGAGTAGGAGACATTTCATTTTCTAATTCACTAAAAAGAGGCTAGGCTTCAATATTTCATGTAAAAAACTTTCCTACCAAGATGTTCATTTTATCACAACAAAATCAGCTCTCGAGTGGAGAACAAAACTGTCCAAATGGTTCACTCTGAAAGAATCCAAACTCTCCTCCTGTTCTTTCTAGTTTCAACCTCACCACAAAAAGTGAGCTCCTGTTCCCAGAGATTAATCATAACTGGAAGAAAAAAACTTTTACCAGGTTTTGGATATTTTTCTTATTTTTTTCAGCATTACACAGAATATTAGATCTTTAACTACCTTGTAATCTGTAATAAAAAATTGGAAGGAAATAACCGTACCTGTGACTCAGCAAGATAACCAGCATCACTCCCTTGTTCGATTCCAGTCTTTACTGCCTAAAAAACACGGCAAGCACTTGTTTAGTGTTGGAATAGCTTGGTGAGATGTACCACTAACGCTGAATGAAATGACCAGCACTGTTAGACTTCAAAGAGTCAGTCAAAAAAGAGATGAGGACTGGGTGCCTGGCTGCTCTAGGAAACTGAACTTTTCGTCTCTGCACCCAGCATGAAGCAGAGGTAGAAGGAGAGAGAAGGCTTATGTACATGACACATCCAGCTCCCTTCCTTTTCCAGAGACAGGCAGACCCTCAGCTTCCACTTTCAGCCCATTTTTCTCTACGCTTTCTTCCTCAGAGGCATGATCCTAGTTTATCACATTAATCAACTCTATGAAATTCAATTTTGGCCCAGGATAAGTGCTACCCTAGGTACAAAGACAAGTATAAAAGACAAACAATCCCAAACTCAATCATCATTATGGAAATGACAAAAAAATTTACATTCTTAATTTAACTTCTCTGTCTCAACTACTATTATTGTAACTTCCTGTGATATCTACTCTCAGGCCATCTAAACTTAACTCTTAATCTCTTTGGCAAGTTTCTTGCTGCCCTTACACTTTGACTGTCATATCTCAGTTACTCAAACTTCAAGCTAAGTTATTAATAGTGCTGGCTAATTCACTGCTCTACTTTTGTTTCTCTTTCCGTTTTTACGCACTTCCATGGGAATGGATGTCTATAGTCTCTACAGGACAAAGGGAAATCCGTCAATTCATTATTGCCAGCCTTCCACACCCTAGCTTTCATCTGTTTTTCTACAGACCGATTCACTATTCACTATTCATAGAAGTTGGTCTCTTTAAATGCTCCTTGAGGAACCTCATACGTTGGAGCTTCCATAACTGCCCAGAATGCCTATCCTGCCACACCGCTTTCTCTTCACCCACTCCCTATACACTTTGGGGGCTCAAGTCCCCCAGGAGGCTCTTCCTGATCACACTGGCTCCCTTCTCTGTCCTCTTAGCATTTTCCTGTCCTAGTAACCTGGCATTAATCTTATGCTGCTTTGTGTCTCTTACATTGCTGTTTACATTACCACGAGGGGATAGCTAATCTCCCCAGCCCCAACTGTGAGATGAACACAGGTAGGCGGTCATGTTTCATACTTTAATTTCATTTTTTATGGTGCTGGGGCTGGAACCCAAGGCTTTGCACATGCTAGGCAAGTGTTCTACTACTGAGCTACATGCCCAGTCTATGTTTCATATTTTATGTAACTTTATGCCTTCCACTCATAATATATTTGTTGACTGATACATTCTCTAATTTTGAAGTCTGATTATGTGCTCTCTTAAACTTGGACTCTCCATACTGAAGAGTTACATTCTGAGGTCTACTAGAAGAGGTTACTTCAGCTCTGCGACCATTTTAATCACCCTCCTTGAGCTACTCCAAACTTCTCCACATCCTTTCATGTTCTTAAAAATTGTAGCAGTGGGGAAGACTCTGAGGGGCTTTAGGTACTGACAATGCTTTTGACTAATGACAGAATTCAGCCATCAATTTTGTGTCAACTGCCTCTTAATGCGTAATATTTTACTGGCTTAGTCATGCTGATGTTACTTAGGTTCCTTTCTTGCTTTCTTACTGACAGCTTTAAAACTGGAAAACCAATAAGTATGTCTAGCACTATTTTCCCCAAACCTAACACTTTATATGAGTCCTTATAGCTTGTTATACTCTTTCCTTATGTTAGTGTGTACTTTAATGGCAGAATTAAGAATTTTAGTACTGACATGCACGGTCAGGATGGCAGCTGGGTACTGCTCTACAGAAGGGCAGGGCATATGAAGAAGGCAGGTGTAAAGGGTGAGACTCACATCAATTATTTTCAGAGGTGCAGGATAAAGGCCTTTGGTCTGCTTTTGCACTTTTTCTTCCACTTTTTTGTAAACCTGTTGCCTGACAAATGGGATACTCATGGCATATGACGTCAGTTCTGGAAGGTAAAATGCTTTTTTAGACACCTACTGGAAAGAGCCTGGCTTCTCTTGTTAGTTTGTTCTATGAACGCCGTAAAAATGCAGTAATTCCAGATATATAAAAGAGCTGCTCTTTATTTTAATACACACATCTAAATGTCAACCAATGCATTGTTTAAAATATACTTTAATTGGTTAATAAATGTTAAAGCTAGGCCTTGGGTATATGTGGGTTTATTACATTATTATAGTTTCTTCTTTCATATTAATGTTTAAAATTTTCCAAAAGAAAAAGTTTAAAAAATTATTTTAGCCAGGTATGGTCGTACAAACCTATAATCACAGCATTCAGGACGCTGAGGCAAAATTGCTGCAAGTTTGAAGCCAGCCTGAGCTACACAGTGATTTTAAGGCCAGCTTGGACTGCCCACTGAGACCCTGTCTCAACATCCCTCACCCCAAAGATTTTAACTAGCTTAAGGACTTGATCCCATAGCAGCTTTGTGACATCCCTTAAGGTTGACCTTATACTTAGAGTAAATAACACATGTACTTCTTCCTTCTTTTGAATAGCAAATGCAACTAAATGTGTAAGAAAGAAGCTCTGTTCTTTTTCTTTTTTTTTGTTTTTTTTTCTGGTACTGGGACTCAAACTCTCGACCTTGCACTTGCCAGGCAGGTGCTGTGCCGCTGAGCTAAATTCCCATACCCCAGAAGCTCTGTTCTTTAACAAGACACTTACTTTCTACCAATCCCTTGTCTCTCTTTGGTGTGATCTTCTTATCAGCTAGTCCTTTGGCAAACGTAACTGCAACTTCCTCCAGGTATTCAATTGTCCGTTCCTCTGGAGGTTTTACTCCTGGTCCTGTAAAAATGATTGCAGCAGACTGAATGCAATGACCTTATATCAGTCCCATGCAGGCAAAACCTAGGCATGCCAAAGCCAAAGACTCCAGCATGACCTCCCACTTTAGACCAGAGACGGGCGGCTGGCAGTCACAAATTTGGACTCCCAAGAGGAGACCAGTCCTGAGCAAGAGTGTGAAGTGTGCTCTAGGCAGAGAACAAGGACCTTTTGGCCTGACTACCTCTTCTGTAGGCTGCAGCATGTCTTGCGGCCAGCACTCTCACTGCAAAACTGGGGGGAAAATGAATAAATGATAAATTCATTTGTAAAGACAGTGACGGCTGAGGAGGCACGAAGCCCACATAAACCAAAACTCCAGAGTGGGAAAAGCCTATCTCAGGTGAACTGGTGACCGCTGCTTGTGTCTTTCTGAGGGTATGTGATGCTCTCGGGTATGAGCTGAAGACCAGACTGGGCTCAAGCTGAAGGATGGTACTGTGGGAAAGTAAAACATCAGAATTTTGGTGCCACGTGCACCAGAACAGAAGCCAGAAGAAACCACATGGAAAGCTAGTTTCCGCCCGTGAATGTTTTTAGAGTTCCAAGGTGGCTTAGTGGCTGAAGAGATGGGGTCAGAAAGTCAGGGTGAAATCTCAGTGCCGTGATGTTTAGCACACAAAGTGTTTCTTTGCAGAAAGACCTGTAGCAAATATGCAACTGGTTTCCCACTCAAGGACTGGGCCAGAGTTTGACCAGCAAGACAGATGCAGGAGATGAGAGTAAAGTCTGGGCTGTGGTGTAGCCATGTAGAGTAGATTACTACATAGCAGGAGCTACACAGAAAGGATCTAGACAGCGAGGCTCCTCCAAACTCTAGGTTGGATTAACAGCAGATTTCCTCTGAAGATGAAAAGATCAGAAAATCTGAATGCTTGGCAATAAAAAAATCCTAAACAAAATCACACTGAAAATAGCTGACACAAAGCTTCATTTTGAGACAGTATCAAGTGATCTAACATATGTGAAAGTGAAATTTCTGCAAAGGGGTGAGGGAGTGATACAGTTGGTGTCTGAATGTCCGGCCAAAGCCTCATGCAGTCATGGGGCGGGTTTCTACAGTTTGACCGATTCATGGCCCAATATTGGAATACTGGATGTGAGTCTACCCCTGCCCTGGGGCAGGTAGTTTGCACACAATGTAAGGGAGGGAAAGAGGCTGCTTACACTCTTCCCTTTTTGCTCTTGTTGCTTTTATTAACTTCCGGGGCCACGAACTGTTGCCCTCTGCTGTGTGCCACCCTGCCCTGGAGCCAACCAAGTATGGACTGAAACCTCCATAAACTATAAGCTAAATAAGCCTTTTCTTCCTTAATTCTGGGTGTCAGGTATTTTGTCTGAGCAATGAGAGAAAAGTAACCAAGAGAGGGAGTCAGAAAAATATTTGAAGACGTAATAGCCAAAGATGTTTTCAATTCTGATGAAAACAAAAGCCAATATACTCATGTAAAACAAACACTAAGAAAACCTCACACAAAGGGATAACATAAACTGCTAAAACCAAGCCAAGGGTGGTGACACATGCCTTAATTGCAGGACTTTGGGAAGCTGAGGCAGGAGGGTCACAAGTTCAACTCTAGCGTGACTGACTCAGATGGGGGGGTCACTGGGGATGTAGCCCTCAGTTCAATCCCCAGTACTAACACCCCTCAAAAACTGCTGAAACTAGTCAAAAAGGGAAAATTTGAGAACAGGTAGGGGTTTAGGAGTGGGAATACTTCATATATAGAAAAGATAAAAGTAACAATAATGTTTTATCAGGAGATTATACAAGCCACAGCACAATGGAGACATCTATAAAGTACCAAAAGAAAAACAACAGCAATCTAGAATTCTTTACCCAGCAAAATACCTTTGAAAAATGAAGCTGAAATAAGGACTTTGTTAGGCAAATGACAAGATACAAGAATTAATTGCCAGCAGGTCTACACTATGGAAATGGTTAAAGGAAGCTCCTTAGGTTTGAGGAAAACCAAATCAGATGGACATCCAGATCTACATAAAAGATGGAGTCCCCAGACACAGTGAATATGAGGGCAAATGTAAAAAATACCTTTCTCATTTTTTTTAATCTCTTTAAATAGTAATTTTCTACAAAAAATGTCAATATATTGAGGAAATTGTAACATGCAGAAGTTAAATGTATAAAAAAAGTGTAGAGGCTAGGGAAGAGGGAAAGTATTTTTTTAAGGTTCTACACCACATATGAAATGATAAATCATTTGAAGACAGACTATGACATGTTGATGCTGTATACTCAAAACCCTAGAGCAGTGATGGCGAACCTTTTAGAGACTGAGTGCCCAAACTGCAACCCAAAACCCACGTATTTATCACGAAGTGCCAATACTGCCACCAACCCTGAATATTGAGGTTTTACTTTAGAAAAAACAACTCTTTACATCAACACCTTTTGTCTTAAAAGAAAAGCTCAATAACACACATGCCACATAGGTTTGCTACCTCTGATCTAGAGCAACCATGAAAAGGAAAAAGCAAAGCAAAGGGCCAGTCATGAAGCTAAAAAAATGATTAACCCACAGGAAAGCAGGAAGAAAGGACAGAAGATGGAGCAAAGACGCAACAAGTAGCACTGAATGAAACTGAAGTGCCAGAACTCGCTTGTGTGGAGGAAGCACAAAGGAAGGTATCAGAAGTCTTATGGAAATGAGAATGTCAGAACGGATTTGTCACACAGGACCTGCTCAGTCACCCTGCCAGTGTTACAGGACACCTCTCACTACTACTTGCAGAGATCAGTTTGTGAGGGGAGGCCTGGAGCCCTGGAAAAGCTGTGTGGTTGAGCTTTTCTTGGTAAGTCAGAAATTACAGTGGGAATTGCTATCACCAACCAGGACCCTTGAACGCAACAGGGACAATGGGATCCCAAAGTGGCAGGGGCCAGGTAGCAGCACTTAACTGCCAAGTGAAGGTGGCATGGTTACCAGCAGGGGTAGTAGAGCCAAAGCAGTAACTGCAATAGTCTGACTTGTGGAGCTCTATGGCACTGGCTAATGCATCATGGTGTTCCTGGAAGAGAAACATGGGTATTCCATTAAATTCTTATTTGTTCTATACAAGCGGGATTCCAGGTCTAGCGAATGGAAGTGTAACTTGAGTTGCGAGAGGAGAAGGGAGAAGGGGAGGGGAGAGGAAGAGGGGGAGGCAGAGAGAAATGGCTCTAATTAATTAATTCAACTAATTCCCAGAAATAAGCCAATTCACAGACCCAGACTCCCGAGTGAAGGGGAAGCTGAGTCCCCTTGAGGAGATTTTACTGTTTATCTTTTTCCGAGTCTTCCAAAAGGGATACTGGTCATGTCCCTTGGGGAAAGGGAATTACTGTAATAAGATTTTCTGGGGATTACTTTACACTGGCTCCGAGCTGACAGTAACTCCAGGAGATCCAAATATCACTGCTGTCTGCCAGAGTAGGGGCTTTGGAAGTCACATGATTGATGGGGTTTTAGGCTCAGATCTGTCACAGTGGGCTTTACAGGCCCCCGAGCCCGTTCTGTGCCCACCTCCCCCACTCCAGAAGGTCTACGTGGATCGGGCGTTCTCAGCAACCAGCAGCAACCCGGTATTAGTTCCCTGACTTGGTGAGTAAGGACTCTTAACACTGGGAAAGCCCAGGTGAAAGCCCTGGGAACTGCCTGGACCTCAATACAGCACGGCAAAATTCCACAGCCCTACCGGGACCGCAGAGATCAGTGACATCATGAGCACAGGAGGCGATTCCTTTGAATCTCCTTTCAAATTGCCTATTTTGGCCTGTGTAGAACAGAGACCGATCTTGTAGAATGACAGTGATTATCATAAACTTAATCTTGTGGTAACTGCATTGTAGCTGGTGTTCCACATATGATTTCCTGCTTGAGCACATTGACACATCCCCTTGTAGCTGGTCCTCTCTATGGTTACTGACTGGGCAAAGGCTTTTTTCTTGATACCTGCTGATACAGATCACCAGAGCTTGTTTGTAGCTGGCACTGTCTCACCTTTGGGTGGGTATACAACTCTCCAGCCATATATCCTAATTCAGTCCCCTTCCACATGCTGGTTCATTACAGTGATGATATTTTGCTGAATGGATCAGGTGAGCAGGAAGTACCAACTACTCCAGACATTTTCGCAAGATAGCTGAGTGAGAGAATGGGAAATAAATTCCTTGAAGTATTCAGGGTCTTCTGCCTTACTGAAACTTCTAGGGATCCAGTAGTAAGGGATATGTTGCTATATCCCTTTTAAAGTGAAGGGTAAGTTGTTGCATCTGGCGCTCTTGCTAAATGAAAACGGCACGACATCTGGTGGGCTGCTCTGGCGTTCTGAGACAACGCATTACTCACCTGGGTATACTACCAAGTAACTGAAAAAGCTGTTAGTCTGAGTGGGGCCCAGGCCCTGCCATTTGGGGGATGTGACTCAAACCTGCCAGTGCTGGAAGGATCAGGGCCAGACAGATGTTTGGAGTCTTTAGCAGGTACCTAAGGTGAACACAGTGCAAGCCTTAGGATTTTAGAAAATTCCTGCATGAACAGTCATTCTCTTTTGAAAAATAGTTTTTGGCTTTTAGTGAGCCTTACGAGACTTAAAGCTTAACTATGGGTCATCAAATCGCCAGGTGACCCGAGTGATCATGAGATGTATGTCACCGGACCCACCGAACCACAGCTGGGGCGCACAGCAGCACCCAGCACTCAGCACTAAGGATACTCAGCTTCAACAGATTCTAAAGGCACAAGTTGCAGGTGGAAGTGGCCGAAATGTCCCTAGGCTCGTGCCCTTCTTTCCGTTAGCCTGCACCTATGGTCTCACTGAGACTCCCTATGATCAGCTGACTTGGGAAAGAGAAACTCTGGCCTGGATTGTACACAGTTCTGTGTGACATACAGGCTGCACTTGGGAGTGGACAACTGCTACACGATAGTCCCTCTCTGAGACATCTCTGCGGGACAGTG